CTCAAACAATTTTAACACACTACTTTCATATGAACACTACTAAATTTATAGTTTAGAAAAAAATCTCCTAATTCTACAAAGCCCAGAGATAGACCTACTAATTACTTGTGTTGAAATAGAAGACAATGCCATCTGGTAATGTTCTGTATTCATACAACATACATTTAGGTACTGGCCTTCAGGAGTTTTCAACCAAGTAGAGGAAAATTAAAATATATAAACAAGTAAGAATAAAATTCAATGATATGAGACAGTATTCACAGAATAAGAGGGCAACCCAAAAGACGAAGCAGGCAGTTCTCCTGGGTTAGGGAAAAAGGAAGTGGAAATCAAGAAAGGCTTTATAAAGTAAAATATGAGCCTATCTCGGACCATACGTAGTACTCACTAACTGAACTAGCTGGGGGATGGAACCAGATAGATTTTAGATGCAAAGACGAGGAAAAGGCACATAAGTGTTTTGAAACAGCAAAGACCACCACAATAACTGAGGAATCTGATACAGCTAAATCCTAAATTATGGCAGGGGTGGGGAGCTCAGGAGGAGTAAGCTGCACTTCAGTAAGAAGATACAGAACAAATGTGTCAAGCATAACAACACTAAGAATGAAAATGTCAGGACAATGATCCTTGACAGAACAGTTCTGTGTCACTGGCAGGGTGATTCACACCAATGAGTAAGATAATACAAACTTTAGTCACTTAAGTTTAGTATACAGTTTTTAGGCTTTTAAATATTTATTTTATAATGTAGTTATAAACATACCAGACTTACAGTATTGAATATCCATCCAACTTCTAATTTAGCCTGATCTTCCAGCTATACAGCAACAAAGCTCATTCAGGCCTGGGTTGGGGTGGCAGGGTAGCCAGATCCTAGAACATTATTTTATCTATTGTGTTTGCATTAAATCACGGAACAAAGGCATTGAGACTATGCCAACGGTAAATGCCACAGCACTAAAACAGGGTCACGTACCCTACGGGTATTCTGGAGAGGACACCTACTTCCTTTGCAATATTCAATAGTCACTCATCAGCATAGTGCACAACAGGCTCTTGAATGTTTCACAAATATCACAAATTACATCTGCATAATATCTCTATTTCTAAAGTACTTTTCCATGTGTTGTCAAAAGAATAGACAATTTATTTGTACAAATTCATACAGCTGGTTAACAGTGCCATCATTGGTTAGGTACAATCCTTTTCAGTTTTGACCTCTTAGCCCTAATTGCATTCAACATACATTTACTGCATGCCAGGGAGAGGGTGGATGACAGGAATGCAGAGGTGAAAACACTAACATTAATAATAGCAGGAAGGACTGGTAGAAAAACAAGGTAGTTTTCCAGATCTCGGGTACCCACAGTACTGAAAAAAGCAAATATGTCAATTTTGAGAATGGGGCAGGGAGGAAAAAAAAAGACATTTTGGATGAAAGGTAAATATGATCTGAGACCACCACCCAAAGCTTTCCTGGAAGCAGGGTACAAGGTTCAGGCCCAGTAGACTGCCTCAGTAACACAAGTCCATTTCATACCTAAGCCATCTCAAGCTTATTTTTAAATGATGAGAAGGATATGGTTACTTTTACTATTTTATCTGGTGGAACCTTCCAGAAATCAAATTAGATGTAAGTGTTCTTAGTATCAAGAACTGATAACTAGAAGAATGCTCTTAAAAACTCCTCTTTTGCATAATTCTAACAAGCTACTGAACATATGTGTGTCATGTTTCTCTTTCTACCTTATACCTTTAAGTTTGTTCTTTTAAGTTACAAGTAGTTCTTGGCTATGTGGAGGGCCTGAGGAAGCTTAGGGTAACTTAGTCCTGTGTTTATACTTTCATTTGGTGGCATCTCCAAAACCAGTCACAAATAAAATATCCATGATCCTTCAGTAGCAAATGTAATATCCACAATCTTACAATAAACAGTTTGCTTTAAAAACAAACAAGATTTCTATTATGAGTACCAGTACAAATCCCAGGATGCTAGCACTATGGGAACTATTGGAATTTATCATTTTATGAACTAAAACTGGAAGGTATGCTGCAAGTATTAAATTCTACTTTAAATTTTTATGAAAAGACAATCTGCAGCAATGTGAGTTTTTTTGTAGTTGTTTCCTGAACTTGTCTGATCATAATCGCCTTGGATGCTTGTTAAAAACAGAAATTTCTAGCACCCACCTCAAACACAGTACTGAGGAAATCATACCTGTATTGTGTTCCTTAACCCCACAGAACCATAATGGAAACACATTACAATTTAACATGTTTTAATTAGGTAAATTATTTCAGGAAGCTCTTTGTTTTTAGATCACTTCCTTCCAGTAAAAATTATAATGTAGTAAGATTGTTAAATACTCCAGAATATAGGCTGAACAATCTATAATCCCAGTTTATAAAGGGAAAAATTAAGATCCACAGATAACTCAGTCAACAAATCAGAACTATAGAATTTAAACATTAATAAAGTCCTTTGGCTACTGTATCTCTAGTCTCAGGACTCACTAGTAGTTTGAATAGGCAATTTCTAAAGAAGCTTCACAAATTAACATGACATCCAATGGTGGTACTTTTTTAATCCACACTTGATTAGCCCATATCGAATCCTAGGACTTTCTCCAAAAATAAAGAAGTAAAATTAAGTAATCCTAATAAAAATTGTCAAATTGCAAAGATCCACCCCACCCACCCAAGAAATGCAACTGAGCAAGGTGTCTTTTAAAATTCAGCTGTCACTAAGTATTCTAGTGTAGACTGTCCATTTCCAACTGAAACACACCCAATTGAAACACTCTCATTCAATGTTGTGTTAAGAGATGCCCAAAAATGTTTTCACTCAGCCGTTAGCATTCAAAGGCAATGCAGGAAGATAATGCACTGACAGATGAACACTTTACTCTCACACCGTCTCCCCGCAGGCAGAATCTGACTTTCATAGTAAGTCTATTTGGCTTCCCATGTTAAATGTAGATAGCTTGTGTGAAAAGGAGACATAAAATTCCACTTACTCTATTCCACTCCCAGGTATATGCCAGAGAGAAATGAAAACACACAGAAACTTGCACACAGTGATAGCAACATAATACATAACAGCGAAATAGTGGAAATAACTGTCCATCAACTGATGAATAAAGAGAATATGGTATATCCATACAGTGGAAAATTATGAGGCCATAAAAATACTGATACATTACAACATGGATGAGTCTTGAAAACATGGAAGACAAAGCCTGTCACAAGAAACCATATATTATATAATTCCATTTACATGAAATGTCCAGAACTGGCGAATCTATTGACACATTAGTTAAATCAGTGGTTGACGAGGTAGGGAGGTGAGGGCGAGTGAGAATAAAGAATGACTGTGAATGGGGTACACGTTTCTTTTTGAGATGATGAACTGTGTTAGTGGCTGTACACTCTACATATATTAAAAACCACTAAATTATACAATTGGTGAGTTGTATACTTTAATTCCATCTCAGTAAAGCTGTTAAAAAAAACCAGATACTCTGAAAATAGCCCCCTCCCTTCAACTCTGTAATATGTATTAAATAAGAACTCTTGGTGATCATGTACTTGGAGTAAGACACTAATCAAAATGTCTGAGAAACAGTAACAAAATGCAGAATGGCAAGACTGATTGTTTAAACTTTTTTTCTATTTTTCTAAGTTTGTTTTCTGTCTGAAAAATTTAAGTGATTATTGTTGCAAATCATTTGTCTTTAAAGGCTTAGTGTGTAAGATGTTTAGTAAATATTGATTGGACAGCAGGAACATGTCTGTTCTTTAGAAAACTGGCTGAACTCAACCTTACATATCCCTCAAATAAATTCAAGGACTAGGGTAGAGTCCTCCCTAAGAAGAGGAGTTAATTGGAACAACAAAAAAAAAATGCCAGCCAATCAGAGTAAAAGGATTTTCAAAACTCTCAACGATGTATCATCAAACTATACTTGAATTTAAAAAACAAGCAAATTCTTAATGGCCTTCTATTATAAAATGAACTTATTTCATAACGGCTTAAATATTTTTAATTTGCAAGTACAAAGGTACAGTGTACATTTATCTAGCTGTGTATATGAGGTATAGACAGTTCACTACGTACACAAACATTTGCTTAATTTTCTGCGAGATTAAAAAAAAAAGGTACAAGGGTGTGGCAACTCACCCAAGGTCACAACAAGTCAGGGCAGAGATCAACACTCAGGTCTACACCAGGGGAAATCTTACCGACAATTTCGCAGACTTTTTGTTTGGTTTTACGTACCATAAAGCATGAAACAGCAGGGGGCAGGGCGTTAGTTTAAAAACTTCTAAATAGAGACAGTGAGATAGCTATTTTGGGTGAACAAACACGTGTGAGAGTGGTTAGGGTAAGAGCTAAACAAAGCTGTCTGTTAGGAGTCTGTGGAAACAGATCCTTTGAATTTTCAACCTTGGTTAGTTCAATCCTCAAACTCAAAAAAATCTAGTTTTCCTTTTAGTTGATTATGAAGGAAAGAAATTTGGGCTCTCCTTGGAATGGTGAGAGAATAAAAATCAAAGAAAAAACGACTTCGTATGACCTGTATTGCCTTCAAAAGGCGGCAGGCTTTTCTGAGGGGGGAAATGGGTGTCCAAACAGCAGCGAATAAAGAATAAAAGTTTTCTAATATCTGTGAGAAGAAAAGACTGACTGGCAGAGCTCACCTAGAATCTTTCTATACAACTCACATGAAACCTTTCCCTCCGCCGAAAAGAAGCCCACATTCCCCAGCCTGGTCTTACAACCGACCCGGGGTTCGCACGTGGAGCCCTGCGCGGGCAGCCCGCTACGGAGCGGCGCCCGCGGCTGGGGAGCGCCCGGGGGAGAGCCGACACTCCCGCGGCGTCGGCACCGCTGGGGGCGGCAGTCGGCCGCCTCTGAGCCCTTTTGCCCAGGGAAAACCGCCGGGGGAGCCGGGGGAGGACCCGGCTCTGCCTGCCCGGAACCCCACTCCCCTCACCTGGCCCTGGCCCCTGCCCCAGAGGAGATGAAATAGGCGGCGGCGGCGGCAGCTGTTTCCGACGGGGTGCCCCAGGGGCGGTGGCTGCTTCGACCCGCGGCCCTAATCTACCGCCGCCGCCATGTTGAAAGGTGAGGTCACCCGCGACGTGCTTCCGTCACCGCCGGCGCACAGGGCTGACCGAGGAGCGCGGGAAGGGGACGGCTCTGTCCTCCCCAGCGGAAGCACGGACCGTAGAGGGCTGGAGGTGACCCGGAAGAGGTCTTGAGCCTTTCCCTCCCCCCATCTCCCGATCCTACCTGGCTCACATCTGTGGTTCCGGGGTGGCTGGAGAAAGGAAGGGGGCTGTTGAAGTGCCAGCGGCCCTGTTGGGAGAGGGGCTTGCGATTCTCGAGGAAAGGAACCTTGCTGCGTCCACAGAATGTATTGTATGGATGTATTGAATCAACAACTGTTGGGCTATAGGTGTGTGCAAAAACAAGCAGGTTAGAGAAGTGTCAAGAATCATGAGCGCGGCTTTCGCCTCACCTTGTGGGGAGACCTGGGGTATGGCGGGGCGGCACCCAGCACAGTGCCTGGAACCCTAGGCCCTCGTCCTCCTCCATGAACAGGTGCGATCTCTTCCATTTGTGAGGTGAACGTTTGCTGACTTGAATCCAAGCGTTTCCACGCGTCCTTTGGAGAAGTCACCGAAAGTATCCAGTGGAGCGGCTACAACATCCAAGCCGTGCTTGGGGAAATCCAATTGCCCGTGGTGTAAATTGGGCACAGTTTCTTGTCGGGGTGATGAAAATGTTCTCGATTTGGTGATGGTTGTTTTAGGCAGGAAGATGTGAGCGGGGTGGGAAGAGAATAAGGCCATAAAGCCCACTAGAAGGGACTCAAAAAGTTAACCAGTTAAAACTGGAAACACAGAAAAGACAGAGTTAATGAGTTAATCAGTTAAAGCTCAAAAGGTCAGGAGCAACTTGGCCTGGAATGTTTTGAATATTCCCCAGATAAAGGAGGTTACCTCAGCATAGCCCATTTCTTTGTTGTGTTAAGCATGCAGGCCCAGCCTTAAACAACACAGTGAAAAACAAGAAGGATTCCATCTTAAAGATGGGATTGCACTTTAAAATCCAGGAAGTTAAGAAGTAAGATTCTTAACTTACTCCTAAGCAAACAGACAATAGCTCAGCCCACCTTTGGGGCTGGTCTTAATTGATAGGCTCCCAAAACAGGAAGCTGCTATCCTGAGATGAAATCAGAGCGGTACATTTCTTGTGTTAATTATAAATATTGAGACACCACTTAACAAGTCTGAACCCCCAGCCCTTTGTCACATTCCTGAAAAATCCTTCAAAGGGGGAACTCACAACCTTTCAGTGCGCACATATCTCTGAGGTTGCCCGCACTTCGTAAGTGCGTAACCTTTTAACCTTAAACTTTCTCTCTCCAACCTTTCAGGGCGCCTCACCTCCCTGAGATCGCGTGTACTTTTTCTCAGAAACTTTTACTCTGCTTCTCTACTGTCTCTGCCCTTCAATTCTTTGTTGCGCCAAGGAACCAAGGAAAATACACAGTGCCCCCTTAACAGTTACACAACTCTGAGTGTGCTTGAAGCCATTTAATTATACCATTTAAGTAGGCGAAATGAATGGTATGTAACTTTTATCTCAACAAAGCTGTGAAAAAGTGATAAAAACCTGAACTGATAGGAGGATGGGGGTGTAATGAAAAGGAAGGTTGGAGCTGTTAATCGTAAGAGGCTTTGAGCCTGAGTGACAGAAAACAGGTGGTGTCTTCAATAGAGAAATGGACAGAGATTTACCAAGACTTCCGAGCTGAGAGAACTATCAGTAATTCCCTAAACCTAATAACCAATCCATATTAAAATTTCCCAAATTGTCCAAGTGTGGCTTTTATAGTTTCTTTTTGCTTTTTCTTTTATTTTAAGAAAAACCAGGATTATACAGTGCATTTGGTTGTTGTGACTGAAAGGGCAAACTCCCAGATTCTATTTTAGCCAATTGAGACCTGGATCCTACCTCAGCCAATTGGGACCCAGATCCTATTTCACCCAATCGGAGCTTGGTCTCTCTCCCCTCCAGTCAGCAAGAAGTACACCCACCACCCCTAGACCCTACCAATTGACCAAAGCCACAACTCATCACCCCCCAACTACCACAAACCGCCCTGGAAACACATAAAACCTTTGTTCTGGGGTACACGCGCTCTTTCTCTGGCATCTTGCCACTGCGTTGGTGTCGATGAGAGATTGAGCCAGAGCTAGCTCAAATAAAGGCTCTTCGCTTTTGCATCGGTGTTGGCTCCTTGGTGGTCTTCTGGGATTCGCGACTTTGGGCACAACATTTGGGGGCTCGTCCGGGATCCCAGAGACCCCCAGGACCCCCGACCCGGAGAGCCCTGTGCCGGCTGGTGAGTACACTCAGTTATCTGTCTGTCTTTGTCTGTCTGTGTCTCACTGTTTTTGTTCGTGAACAAGCCTGTGTAAGCCTGTAGGAGCTCCAATCTGTATCAGGGTTGGCATTGACTTAGGCGGACGCGCTGGCAGGTCGTCGACCGGGGGTCTTGGGAGACGTCCCTTGCCCCCGTCTGGAGGACGAGGTTCTCATCTGTGAGGAAAGTCGGCTGCTACTGCAGTCTGACAGGCCCTCAACTTACTTTCAGTTTTGCCTCTGCGGCCATGGCAGATTCTTCTCTGTAGGCGCTTGTTTGTTGTTTGTCATGTTTGTCATGTCTTGTTGACAGAAGAAATGGGACAGACTCAGACGACCCCCTTCTCTCTCATGACAGACCACTTTTCTCAGATGTTAGGGAGAGAGCTCACAATTTGAGCACGGACGTCAGGGAAAATTTCGTGTTTTCTGCACCTCCGAGTGGCCGTCCTTTAACGTTCGCTGGCTGCTGGAGGGAACATTTAATCCAACCACTCTTTTACAGGTTAAAGATATCAGGGGAAGAGCTAACAACCTCAGTGTGGAAGTCCAGAAGGGTCGGTGGCAGACTTTTTGTTCTAGCGAGTAGCCAGTTTTCAAGGTCGGATGGCTGCCAGAGGGAACCTTATCATTATGTCTCAGTCTGTATGTTTGTGTGTCTATGTGTGTAAATGAAAATATCTTTCTACCTCTGAATGATATTAATGGATTTGGTTTAAAGACAAGCGCTTGTGAAGATTGGGCATTCTAAAACTTCCAGAAAATCTGATAAAAAATGTAAAGCATTAATGCTAATTTGGGTTTGGCTAAGGCGTGCATGTCCTTATCAGCTGCCAAAGTTTACTTAAAGTCATTTAAGTTGATGTTACCTGTTAAACATTTCAAGAAGATGCTTAAAGAAAAGCTTGACTTTGTCTAATGTTTAGTAAAAGTTTTCTAAGTAATCTAGCATGGTTGCTAAAAATAAGTAAACAAGTGTAGCAAATAAGCATCTTAATAATAATACTGTATTAATGTATAACAGTGTGTATATATGCAAACAGCCTGAGAATTTTTGTGGTAACCAAAATTTTTAAAGTTTGTTAAGTTATATAGACATATTTTGTGCCTAATGAGAAATTGTGTTGTAAAGCACATTTCCAAAAATGATAATATATGTTCATAGATGTATCAATCTGAAGAATGCTAGTGTAACCTAGCAATCTGAAGAATGCTAGTGGCCTATTTTTCAGTGTTCACTGAAAGTTAAAGTATCAAATGATTTTAAGTTCTAATGAAAACTACTTAAATAAGGAAAACATTTCTCTATGCTAAAAGATGTATGTTTTAATAAGAGAAGGTATAAAGAATGAAAACTCGTCTGCATGCTACAGAATGTTTTTTGATAAAAGAAAGTAACTTTGTTCTAAAGTACAGCTATTTATTTAAAGGGGGACAGAGAGACAGAGACAGAGAGAGAGCAGCGTGGTGCCTTTTGTTGTGGCGGATCCGGATCCCCTCGATCCGCTCAGCCTGTTGCTTTGGGGGAAGGTCAGGATGTTTAGAGATAAGGGGGGATAAACCCAGGCAAGCCCAGGCATAATTCTCACCAGTTTATGTGCTTGGGACCATGGGGCAAATGAAGAATAAATTACTATATTCTTAAAGATATAGTAGTGCTATGTGAAATTAAAGCAAGTGAGTCTTGATATCAAGTGCACAGCAAAATTAGAATTTTGTTTCCAGTTAAAAAAAAAAAAGTTTTCTTTAACTGTTAGTCTGCTCTTAATGTTGAAAGATTGCAAAAGGTTCTCTAATTGTTTTATCAAAGCAGTTTCTTGTGCTTAAAGTCTCAGTGAGTTGCCAGAATATTTTTTTAAAATGAAATCTTAATATTAAAAAGACTAAAAGCTAAAGTTTGTTAACAACTGTGTAACCTTTATTTGCCTTTGAAATATTTTGTTATCATTCTGGTTAAATAGATAAGTATTGCTTCATAGCAACCTATAATCCTATTTAAGCAAGTGCCAAAAAAAAAAAATTAAATGCAAAAAGGTGGCTTTTACCTCTAGTTAACTGATATTTTCCAGAGGGCCCCTGGAACATGTCAGAGGAATTTTTTCTCATTGGAGAAAGAATTTGACTAATTTGGCTTATTTATCTGATATATATATATTTACCTGGAAAGCACTGTCAAAGAGAATGATGCTAAACTTTGTTACTGAATGTTTTGTGTTACAGAAATATCCAAATTGTCTTATATCAACTCATATAGTAAGTTCTCATCAAGTCTTTAACCATTGTCATTTGTAAGTCTTTTGTCATTTATAGTCACTGTTTTATTATTCCTAAACTAGTAAAGAACTAGATTTCAGCAGAACAAGTATTAGTTACATAAGATTACATAAACTAAAGAAAATGATTTTGTGTTTTTGTTTCAAATGTTGCTGATAAAGTGTTTTAAGCTTGTTCTCTTAAGCTGACAACAGTTTAGTAGATGACTATCTTTATAAGCAGAATTGAAACATTTATCTTTCTCTCTACCTGATCCCTCCAGAATTTAAAAACTTTCAGTGACTATTTTTATATTCCATGGCAGTATGTTTATTTGCACAAGTTCAATAAGAATCTGCTTTCCTTGTAAGAAGACTAATTAAAAACACTGGTTA